GAAGTGGCGCTGTGGCTCAAGTGGTAGAGCGCTAGCCTTGAGCTGAAGAGCTGAGGGACAGCGCCCAGGCCCAGAGTTCAGGCCCCACGACCAGACCCAAAAAAAAAAAAAGAAAAAGAATCTCAGGAACAGTATCAGGCCCTAAGTTCAACCCCCAGGTTTACACACACACACACACACACACACACACACACACACACACACACACACACACACACACACACACACACACACACACACACACAGAGTTACTAGTCTTTTTTTGTGTATGTGTGCTGATACTGGGACTTGAACTCAGGATTTGGGCACTGCCCCTTACCTTCTTGATCCAGGCTGGCACTTTACCACTTGAGCCACTACCACTTCTGGCTTTTTATCTGTTAATTGGAGTCTCATAGACTTTGCTTACCCAGGCTAAATTCCAACTGTGATGCTCAGATATCAACCTCCTGAGTAGCTACAATTATAGGCGTGGTCCACTATAGCCAGCAAAGTTACTACTCTTTATCACAACATCTAACTTCTACTTTGTAGTCTAGTAAACTGAAAGTATAATAACCATGAACCTTTTGGGGTTCCACAACATTGAACAGATAGTGGCTTTCAGCACAGAATAAGCAATAACACATTCTATGTATTTCCCCACCATTCTATATCTTTCCTCACTGATTTCTGGTTATGTAAGTGTCTCTTGATCTGAGAAGTCGGGCAGAATCTGTGGCTTTTCTTCAGACTCCTCTGCAGCCGGGTCATTCTCCTCACCAGATTCCACATAGATGGGCCAGTCATTGTCTGTGTCACTCCTTTCTTGGCTTTCATATGAGGCATCCACCAGACTAAGGTCGATGGGCATCAAATCATCTTCATAGTGAGTGTCTGTAACACAGGTACAGCTATAACACAGCCCAAAACGCCGCAGGCCCTGAGACAGGTGGCTTGTGAAAGTTCTCTTGCAGCCTTTACAGATGATTGGACGGTTGGCTCTGTGTACCTGTAATCACAAGCAGACATACTGTCACTGGCCCGGGATTGAGCCAGGGTCCACAGAGCTCTCTGTGATCTGACATTCTCATTTCCCACCCTCTCTTCCTTTTTGGTGATGTAGTCTCAGATCCTTTCTCCCTCAAGGCCACTGGACTTACATGACATTTTCCCTCCTCCCCAACACAAGCTTCTCCCCCCTCTTCATACCTTTCATGGAAGGCTTCCCTGATGTTCTGTGCCAGCTTAGGTCTCCCAGCTATATAGTTGATATAAGCATCTTCCTTTGTTCTACTTCCAACAAATTATTGGCAAAATTTACTAAGTCTACTGATTTAAAACTTACAGTCATTAAGTCCCAAGGCTGCAGGGGCAGAGACGTCCTCATTGATCCTGGATGCTTGGCATTAAGGGTATTCAGGGAACTGATTAGTATTTTATTTTTTGTTGGTTGTAGGGCTTGAACTCAGGGCCTGGGTGCTGTCCCTGAACTTTTTCACACAACGCTAGTGCTCTATTACTTTGAGCCACAGTGCCACTTCCAGTTTTCTGGTGGTTAACTGGAGATAAGAGTCTCCTGGATTTTCCTGCCCCAACATGGCTTTGAACCACCATCCTCATATCTCAGCCTTCCAAATAGCTAGGGTTATATGTGTGAGTTACTGGCTGGCCATGATTAGTATTTTAAACATTTTTTTGTAGCACTGGGAGTTGAACTATGACCCTGATCTTACTAGGCAGCAGCATATCCCCAGCCTCCCAGCCTTTTTTTGTTTTTTCTGTCAGTCATGGGGCCTGAATACTGGGCCTGGGCACTGTCCCTCAGTTCTTCAGCTCAAGGCTAGCGCTCTACCACTTGAGCCACAGCACCACACCTGGCTTTTTCCGATTATGGGTGCTAAGGTATCAAACCAGGGCCTCATGCATGCAAGGCAAGCACTCTACCACTGAGCCACCTTCCCAGCCCCATCCCAGTCTTTTTTATTCCCCCATTACTTTTTTTTTTTTTCCATTCCTGGGGCTTGAACTCAGGGCCTGGGAACTGTCCTTGAGCTTCTTTTGCTCAAGGCTAGCACTCTGCACTCTTACCATTTAAGCCATAGTGCCACTTCTGGCCTTTTCTGTTTATGTAGTACTGAGGAATCAAACTCAGGGCTTCATGTATGGTAGGCAAGCACTCTACCACGAAGCCACATTCCTAGCCCATTACTTTTTTTTTTTTTTTTTGGTCGTGGGGCTTGAACTCTGGGCCTGGGCGCTGTCCCTGTGCTCTTCAGCTCAAGGCAAGCCTTCTACCACTTGAGCCACAGCACCACTTCCGGTTTTCTGGTAGTGTAGTGGAGATAAGAGTCTCACGGAGTTTCCTGCCCAAGCTGGCTTTGAACCCCAATCCTCCGATCTCAGCCTCCTGAGCAGCTAGGATTATAGGCGTGAGGCACCGGTGCCCCACTCCTCCATTACTTTTGTATCCTGTGTACTCAGTCTTACCCAGACTGCATTCTGCTTATTTACATTTCCCACATAGCTGAGATATATGTTGTATGCATCCAGCTAATGATTGAGATGGGCATTTATGCCCAGGCTGGCCTGGAACTGTGATCTTCCCTGATTTGTATGTTCTAGACCCTTACCAGACATATGCCTTGCAAATATGTTGATTCTATTTTTACATTTCCTCCCTGCCTTCCTTTCTTCCTCTACTCCTCCCTCCCTCTGTTCCTCTACCCATCCCTTCCTTGTAATTCTTAGGATCAAACTCAAGGCTTCAAGCAATCCACCACTGAACTCCACCCCCAAGCTCTATATTCTTCATAGCCTTCTTGGAAGTCCCAACTATTTTTATACTAGCTATTTCAAAGATTGATTACCTGGCTCAGAGACAACCATAAATACAACATC